TCCTCGCATTAAGTCTTGCTTATTTTATTTCCTAAAAACCTCTTGCCTGCATCCACTTTTCCACATCACCGAGATATCTCCACCTCTATCTCCACTGCCACTGGCCTAGTGCTGGGCCACCATTTCTGGCCTGGACTGTAGTAGAATCTACTAATTGGTGTCTCTACCTCAGGGTTTACCCCTCCAATCCTCGAATGATAATTCTGAAACCCAGATCTCTTCCTTCCTGCCCCTCCTTAAACATGTTCGTGTTTCTTCAGCATGCCCAGAATAATAAAATCTTAAGCTGCTTAGCTTAGTATTCAGGGCTCTTCAGGGTTTCCTCTAGCCAGTCACTGCTGACCTTGTCAGCTTCATCTCTTGCCACTCCCCTGCCTCTTAGTCTTCATCACCCCTACTACCTGCTAGACTTAAAATTGTTTTGGACACTCCACATTTCCCTTCCAGAAATGTGCCTGTGCTCTTCACTATGCCAAGAACACCTGCTCACCTCAACCCTAACTTGTTGGCTAGCCCCCTCCCACCCGCCCCTCAGAGCTCTGCTTGACTTTGTCGTTCCAGGAACCCTTTTTTGATCCTCAGACTGAACGAGGTGCCTTTTTTGTGCCTCCTTTTCTCATAGCACTGCTCACTCTGCACCACTGACAGGTCTGTCTCTGAGCTCCATGAGGGCAGGGAGCTACAGGGGCTGTGCTGCCCTGTGACCCAGCATGGCCCATGTACACCTGGCACACAGAAGGTGTCAGTGTGTATTTGCTGAATGCATGAGTGCATGAATAAATGGTCCTCCAAGAGTCTCCTTGGGCCCCTTCCCTCCTGAGGGTGGCCCTGGCCCAGGCACTGCTTCCTGTCCTCTACTGTTCAACTCCCAGATAGGAGCAGCTCACTGGAGCATGTGAGCCTCACGTGGTTGCCCTGCGTGAGCTCTCACGAGCTGTCCTAAACAATCTGAGCTACCTTTCCACTAGCAGCTCCCTTGCCAAGCGGATATTTGACTACCCTGGGGCCCAGCCAACAAGCTTATCCTCTGTTAGGGGCTAGCCCCACTCACCTCTCTGAGGGATTTATATAGCTGCACCCTTCCCATTACAGTCTTGGTAATAGAAAAATATTTCCAAAATTAAGAATATTACTGCCCAAAAAAAGAATATTAGAGGGTCATCTTGTCACAAGTTAATGACCCTGCAGGAAATAAAGACAGGTTAGTCTTCTAGAATTTGTGAGGTGAGGAAGACCTGCTCTTGGAGGCCTTTATCGTGGGCACAGGCTGTGCCCCCACCTCTCCCACCTCTACCCCATAAGAGCTTCAGGCTGGCTTCATTAGCTCAGTAAGAGGTGCCAGAAGTTGTGGCTGCTGACCCAGGTGGCCCAGGGCTTCAGAGGACTCTCCGAGAGGCCCTGTTGTCACCATGTGCTGTTGTCTCTCTGAACTTATGGCCTATTAAAGCCCCAGATTTGTCTCTGTGCTTCTTCTGCCCAGTTTCTTCATTTTCTAAGTATGCCATTGACTTTTTACACTCTTCAGTAGGTTGCATTGACTCTTATGAAGGCTTTAAGGGCAGAAAAAGAGCCTGGGCTGGAAGTCCATAACTGTCACACCACTGACTTGCTGTGTGAACTGGAACAAGTGCCTTCACCAATCTGGGTCTCTCTTTTTTCATTGTAGTGGACCAGCTGCAACAAGCTAGACTCCAGAATCCCCAGTACACAGGATCAGTAATCAGAGTTAGTGGAGTGAATGACAATTGGTTTCATCAGGTGTGCTGCCCTGTGTCATCTATGCCATAGATTGTACAATATACACTTTCTCACCATTGGGTCATCCAGGAAACTAGCATCCTTGCCTTCCCTTCAAGAAGAGAAGAGGTATTCCAAACATAAAGCATGTGCACAGACATGTGGTTGTATCACCTGTTTAGTCCTCACTGAGGGGGCGTCCATTATCACTCTAGTGGAGGACCCTGAAGTCCAAAGAAACTAAGCACTTGCCGCAGGGCACGCAGCCAGTGGACACAGTTAAAACTAGCAACAGGTCTGTGAGACTCCAAAACCCACTTTGTCATTTTCAGAAAACTGGTTCCTTGAGACTGGAATATGGGGATTGGGGTAGACGGTGGCAGAGGTGAGACCAGAGGTTTCAGGGATCCATTTTTGCAGGGCCTTTGCCTTTAGGTCATATTAAAGAGTGTAGACTTGAAACTGAGGGCAAGGGGAGCCACTGAAGGGATTTAAAGAGAAAAGGACGTGATCAGATTTGTGTATGAAAGATCACTTTGGCTACAAGAGAATGGATTAGAGGGAAGAAAAAGAGGACACGCTGTTGTCCTAAGAGCAAGAAATGGCGGGGTCTGGCCTGGGGGTAGCTGCCAGAGTGAAGGGGGAGTGGATCATTAGACAGAAGAAGATAAAACCTGCAGTTCATACTTGATCAGATTTGGGGAGTGAGGGGGAGAGCAAGGTGTCAAGCCTGACTCTCAAGTTCATTTTTGGGCATTTTGGGGTGTCATTCATTGGGATGGGGAACACGGGAGTGAAGAAGCTTGGGGGAGAAAATTAATTACTGGACGTCTTGAGTTTGTATGGCTATCTAGAAAGAGATGTTCCGGAGGCATCTGAATCTGTGGTCTGGAGCTCAGGGAGAGATCCAGGCTGGAGACGGCAATCTTCAGGGGTAGCTGAAGGTCTCGGGATGTGGGTGAAGCCATCCGTGTGCAGAGTGGGGAGAGGCAAGGACAGAGACTGGGCCATGTGGACTTTCTCCCAGCTCAGGGCCCGGCACAAGTGGGAGGTCACTGCTCACCCACTGGATGGCTGGTTGCCTGGGGGGAGGAGCTGGCCCATTCACTTGGGCCAGGGGAGGCAGACTGAGCGATTTGACCAGCAATGAGGGAGGAGCCAGATGAAGTCAATAGAAAACTAATTTTCTTTTCTGCTGGAAGAAATGAGGTGTGTGGCCGCTGGGTAATTGCAGATAACGAGGGGACTTATTCTTAATATGCACAGCAACCATGGTCCCCAGAGTGCAGGAGACAGGCAGGATGGGAGGTGCCCTGACAAGGCTAGACTTATTTGGGAAGAAAAGCACCCCATTGTAGCCCTTTCGGGGGTGCCATCAGAGCCCCTGGGCCCTGTCATAAACCCTCCCTGCTCCTGGGGGCCTCCTGTCCCATCCCCACCCCCATCCCCACCCCTCCTGCACAGCATTTCCTGCCCGATTCCCCTTCCTGTCAACTGCCTAGCTCCTCCTGTCGAAGCCGCCTCCCTCCACCCTCTACCCCCACAGTACAGGCATACACACTAAGGGAGACAAATGACGGGGCCTCAGCTGAGCGGGGTGCGTGTCTGGCCCATAAACCACGGGGATGGGTCACGTCTGGAGTTGCCATGGCCGCCACTACCCACCCATCCGTCTTCCCACTGTTGTGCCTCAGACCAGCTCTTGTGGCTTGCTGAATCCCTGCGGGAACAAGATGTCCCGTGTCTAGGTCCTGGGTCACTTCTCCATGCCCACATCCACCAAGGGTACATTGATACTGTGTTCTGCAAGAAGGGACCCTGTGTGACTTGTCTGGCCCAACCCAGAGACCTTATCTGCTCTAAGCAGGGTCTGCAGAGCTGGTGTCTGGCTGATGATACAGGCCCTGGGATAACCAGAGACTCCTGCAGCCCTTTTCTAGCTCTGGTGGATCCTCTTTCCTAGTCTAAGGTCCTGGAAAGGACAGGCTGTGGGGCTCAGAGGAAGGCATTGGTCCTTGACAGATGCAGAGGCCTCCTGACCCCACCTTGACCTTACCACCCCCCACACACCTGATTATGACATCGATGTACAATACTTCTGCAATCACAGCATCAATCCCTTGAGGGTTTGTGGCAGCTGAGGTCCTGGTGATGGCCCAGAAGCATCTACGGGAGGTAGGAGAGGGGTGGGAGAGGCAGGGGAAGGGAGTTGGGGCTGCTCTGGGCAGTGGAACAGAAAAACCCAGGCACTTGGGCCATTTCTCTCCTAGGCTTACTATAGAACAAGCTCTGGGCAGCTGCACCTCCTGCTGGTGGTAGTGGGACAAGTCCTGCCCATGACCATGATACTGAGGCCATGGAGTACCTGTTCCTGTGGCCACCAGGGTTCTAGGACAGTTTTTGAGTTTCTCACTGGAACCAATACGGAGAAACTGCTGTGACAAGGTCTGGCAGGCACAGACGTATTTAACCTGAGACACGGCCAGAGACAGGGCTGAAGCCTGACCAGCACCAGCTTTGAGCCTCTTGGGGTAGGAGAGGCAGGGCTTGGGCATACACAGGCTTGTCGAGTAGATGGCTGCTGGCCAGGGTGTTAAGAGCACCACAAACCTGGACCCTCTCTACCCGTCGGGCTGCACAGGAGCAGGTGCCCAGGCAGGTTGCTGTTGGAGCACACAAGCCTAGCCCCAGGGCTGGTTTCCCAGAGCCCTGGCCTGAAAGTGCCAAGGCTTGTGCCTTGTCACCAGTGATTATGGCCTGGGCCACATCCACACACACAAGTGCCAGCAAAGTCACCCTGGCCGTGGGCGTGATGAATGGCCGCACAGTAATGAAATGGAGACATCAAGGCGGGTGGCGAGAAGACGGAGTGTGGCGGACGGGCCGTCCCCATGTGGCGGCAACAAGAAGGATCGCCCAGCGGCCGGGGGCCGTCAAGGGAGAAATTACACATTTACTCTGCCTTTTTCTTACTGCGACGGCGCCCATACATCACCACTGGGGCCGGGGCGGGACACGCTGGCCAATTTCCAGCATGAATTATGGGGCTGAGAAGCATTGAGACCAGGCTTCCTGCTGGCCCAGCATCACCCAGCCCAACCTGAGGCTGGAGATGCTACCGGCAGGGGAGAGGACCCCCTGGTTGAGAACCTGTGGCTCCCGAGTCTGACCCTCCATCCCACCCCCACCAGTGTAAGGGCACCAATGGACACGAAGGGGAAGGAGCTGGGGCCTATCTAAATGTTTTCTCTTCCTTTTTTTAGATGACTGCAAGAACATTGCCAACATCATGAAGACACTCGCGTATCGAGGCTTCATCTTCAAGCAGACATCGAAGCCATTCTGATTGGCCGAGGATGGGATGGGGCAGGACAGGGTAGCTGCTTGGCCCAGCCCAGAACCCTCCTCTCCCTCACCAGAGGGGAAAAGGGAGAGTGGCACAGCTCTACGTCCAGAGTGTCCCCCAGCCTGCCCTGTGGGCTTGTGCCCTGGGTAAAGGCTTGGCCACTTGGCCCCTCTGGAGCAGACACTTTGTGCCCCCCACCCCCACCCCTCAACCTCAGCCCAGTATGAGCCCCTCCCATTGTGGGCCTGGGCTAGGGGGACCCAGGCACTCACCACCTCCTCCCTGGTACACAGGCTTCTACAGGGGCCATCAAGCTCCCCTGTACCCCTCCCATCTGTAGTGCATGGTGTGTGGTGCCCCCAGGGCTCCAGGACAGATCAGGCCCCACCTCGTGTCTACCCCCATCCCCGCTGTGAACGTGCCACTGAATAAAGTCGGGGAAATGAGGCCCTGGGTGTGTGTGTGAACCAGGCCGTGCTGTGCCTGATGCTGTCAGGGTGTGCAGAGGTTAGAGCATGTTCCAGGCTGCTCTCTGCTCAAGGCCACCAGTGTGGCTGGTGGTCACTGGAGCACCTGTGAGACCCTCACTGAATATGCACAGGGACTGTCTGAGCACAAGGTTATGTTTGAACCTGCGGCTGAGACCACTGCTATGTGTGGACCATCTTGAGTGTAGAACCACAGGTGTTTCCAGGTACCGGTGTTTCAGCAAAACTGGCAGTAGTTAGAGGGCTGCTAAGGGCCTCAACGTAGGCAAGCCCCCGTGACACCCCCGAGGAGTGGGTGCGGTGACCCCTCCTGCCCACCCTCCCAGCCAGGGGCATCAGAAGTGGTGGGAAGGAAAAGGAAGCAGCTCAGTCCAACTCAGCAGCTCTATTTACACAGCAGCATCACCCACACCCCGTGTGGCCTCTCACGGCTTCTTGGCTTTCTTCACAGAAGAGGAGCTGGAGGCCGATTCCCGTCGCTTCCTCTGAGGGGAGACAGAAGGTGTGGAGGTCATTGGCCCCCAAGGCCTGATTCAGACTTGGTGCGTGTGTTTCACACTCTCAGGGAAGGTGAAGCCCACTGGCCACCCACTCCTACCCTCAGTCTCAGAACCCCTTAGAGTGACGATTCCTGTCGCAGGCACTAAAGGGAGAGGAGTGTGTACATGCACGTGCTCGTGCTCACATGCAGGGCCAGCTTGTGCTCTCTTGGCCCGTCCAGGTTCTTACCGAATTGGGCGTGAGGGGTGCACCCACCACATCAATGATGGTGTCCTTGGTGGGGTCAGGGCCAAGACCAGGTTCGGGTACTGCTGGCTCCACAGAGACCGGGGCCAGGCCTGATGCTGGCGTGGCGGGGGCCCCCAGCACACCAGCCCGGGCCAGGGCCTCGTGACGGTGCCGCAGCATCTGTAGCTCGTACTCGCAGTTGGCGCAGGCCTGCTTGAGCTCATAGAGCAGCACCAGGTCACTCCGCAGCTCATTAAACATGTGCACCAGCTCCTCCGTGGGTGTTGGGCTCAGCTCTGCGGATGGGTGGGCGGAAGGCACAGGGGCAGAGGCAGGATGTGGTGGAAGGCTGGCGCCAGGAACTGACCTCCCCCGGCCCAGCCTTGACCCACAGCCTCAGATGGGTACCTCCTGTGGAGCCCAGCGCCCACACTCACCCACGCCAAGCTCCAGCAGCATCTGTTCCAGGGCCTTGATCTTCTTCTGTCCCACAGAGCTTGGCAGCTTCATCTGCAAAGACCCAGGCAGCTGAGCCCTCTCCCCCACAAGCGGCTTAGGGTGCAGGGGACTCAAGGCAGTGGGGGAGTGGAAGAGAAGGTAGCCCCTGGAGGCAGCTCTGAGTCAGAAAAGGAAATAGCCAGCAAGTGGAATATAGTGAAAGCTGTGACCTCAGCCTGGCCACATCCCCAAGAGCCTAGTGAGGCCACTTCCATCTGCAGCACATGGCACCACCTCTCCTACTGCTCCAGCCCCACGGCCTGAGCATTGGGGCACACAGAGCCCAGAGCCCAAACACGCTGAAGGAGGTGACTCACATACCCGCTGGCTCCGCAGCGTGACGCCTGCAGACTTGAAGTCTGGAAACTTGATGCCTGCAGTCTCAGGAACAGCCTGGAGGAGGAGTTATAGAGACCAAGGCGTCACAAGGAGAGGACCCAGTGTGAGTCTCAGCACCCTGCCAGCTCTGGATGCTCTCAGAGCCCTCCTCTAAGGGTCCCCTGTGCCAGGCAACCCCTCCCGCTGAGCTGGGCTGACTTAGTCTCCACACCGGCTTCTCAGCCTCCTTCTTCTGGGGTAGCTTCTTCTTGGGTGCCTTGCGTTCCGTGCGCCGCTGCTCTGCAGTGGTGTCTGCCGCTGTTATCAGCTTCTGTAGGTCCTGGCTGCGCTTCTCCCGCTCCTTCTTCCGGGCCTCGATCTTGCGCAGCTCCTGTAGCAAGTACTCCTCCTCCGCCACCTGGGAAAGCGAGAGATGCTAAGAAGTGCGTGAGGGCACACTGGGGAGTGAGGGTAGACAGGGAGATGAAGGGGTGCTGGGCTGTCTGTGAGGGAATCTGAGAAGTAAGGGATCACGAGGGAGGGCTATGGAGAGCAGGGAGGGTGGCCAGTAAGAGGCTGGACTCGGGGGGCGGGCCACACAGGTACCAGTGGGAGGTAAGGGGACCTGGGGGAGGGAGTTGAGGGCATGGAGGTTGGAGGCAATGGGCACGGGGTTTCAGGGCACGGAGGAGAGTTTGTGGGGCTCAGGGCTGACCTGCTCTGGGGTACGGTTGTAGAGACGCTCCAGCTGTTCCTTCCGCCGTCGCTCATGCCCAGCATCAAATACTGGTATCTTGAGGTCTGTGCCTGGCACGGCCCGCACGTTGGCAAGCTTGGCACAGATGTGGTAGTACCGCTCCTTCAAGTCCTCCACAGAACGCTTCTGAGGGTAAAGACGTGGGGGGGCGGGAGGATGAACGCTCAGAGGCACGTGGAAGGGACGGCACGGAGGTAGTGGGTCTGCCACACGTGCGAGTGCACGACACCAGCTCACCTTGAACTGCTGGTGGTCATACCGGTCATGGATAACTACAAAACGTAGGTCAAAGCGGCGGCTAAGGTCAAAGAGGTGGTCCGTTTCTGCCTTAGTCCAAGCATCATCATGAAGGTAAAGCTGGTACTCTTGCTCTGAATACACGGGCACTTGCACGGTCTATGGCACAGAGGGAGAGTGGGGGCATGCCCACGTGATGTCACGTCCAGCAGGCTCCAGCCCCTGTGACCACAGCCCCTCCTGTTTATTGCCAATCCCGGGGCTGGACAAAAGCAAACCCTCTGCCTGCGGCCCTGCATAGGGCAGCCTGGGGATGATGTTCCTGAGTGAGGAGAGACAGTTTCTGCTTGGCCAGAAGCCCTGGCAGGCTCTAGGACTGCAGCCTGCCTCTACCTTCATTCCAGGAGCCACTTCACCACGCCTCAGCTCCAGAGCCTCAGTAACAGGGCACATGCTCCTGCCCCCACAACTAAGGTGAGGGGCCCACAGGTGAGCGCTTCTGTGGAGTCCAGAGGTCAACTTTGGAGAAGGGCAGATGGCTAAATACTAGAGAAAGGCCCAGGATTCCCTCGTCCATGGAACACTTGTCTGAAGCACTCCTGCCACCCAGTGGTGACAGTGAGACTTGCAGCTCCCCCAGAGCTGGCCAAGCTCACCTCTCTACAGAAAAGGCGCCTGAATCCTACCCCCAGCATGTGCAACCATGCCCATGCCCTGGCCTGCCCTCTCCCAGGCCCTGTGCCCTAGGCCTCCCTCAGGGACAAGCAGCACCACCACTAGCTGGGTCTGTCAGAGACCCCAGGAAGGAGTCAATGCTAGGCTGCACCACGGAAGTTTCTCTTCTCCATCAAAGACCACACTGGCTCTGAACCTGCTCTCAAGACCCTTATTTCCAGCTGCCTCTTGGATATCTCCTACTGCAGGCCCCACAGATACCTCAACTTAATATACGTTTAGGTGACAGGTGTTAACTAGACTCGCTGTGGTCAGCACTTCACAATATATACAAATGTTGTACACCTGAAACTAATATAACATTATACATCAATTATACCTCAGTAAAAAATAAACCAACTTCTTATGTTCAGTACTGAGCTCACCACCTCCCTCAAACATCTATGTCCTCCAGTCCAGGCCTCAGTCAGTGTCACCGTCACTCACCAGGTGCCCAGGCCAGAAACCTGGGCTGCACATTTACTTCCTACCTTTCCCCTTGACTCCTCCCCTTCCCCAAATCGTGGCTTTACCTCTGGAATCCCTGTCTCCACTGCCACGTCCCAGTCCAGCCCACCACTGCCACTTGCTGGATCAGAGAAACAGCCTCCCCACTGGTCTCTCTGCCTCCATCCAATCCTCCTCCAAGCAACTCTCCATCTGCAGCCAAGAGTGATCTCTGAACAGTGCTCCTTAAAAGACAGCCTGCAGACCAGGGCTGTCTGCAGACTGTTATCACTGCTCTACGCTAAGTAGGGAAATTGAGAGTAGGCATTTAGAAATCTTGATAATTTTACAACAAGTGTACACTGCTGGATCTAATGAAGAAACAAGGACTTATATTTTGTCTTTTCTTGTAATTTTACTATCTTTATCAGTCTCTGGATTGGAAATTTTTTAAAAAGTCCTTCACCAAAGATAATTTGAGGAGCACTATTCTAGAATATATATCTGATCATGTTACCCAGCCATCTCTATTAAACCCCTCCAAGGCTCCCCACTACTCTAAGATAAAAGTGCCTTCTAGATAATTCACAAACTCCTCAAGAGCAAGGGTTGTCTGGTTCATTTCTATCTTCAGGGTTCAGCACAGGGCCAGGCACACTAAAGGTATCAATAAATATTTACTGAATATTTCTGTTCAGTCAGTGAACACATGGGTGAATGACCTGGCCTCTTTCTGCAGCCATTGATCCTCACGGACCCTAAGTTCTACCCACATGACTAGCAGTTTCTGAAACATACCAGGCTCTCCCGCTGAGTCTCTGTTGTTCTCGCCTGAAATGCCTTCCCACTTGCACATCCCTTCTACCTAGACAACTTCTCATCCTTTTGATCTCTTTCAGGCATCATCTCCTCTGAGAAGTCTCTCTGGTTTCCCAGGTTTGGTTAAATATCTCTCCTATGCATGTCAATTCCATTTAATTAAAAAAAGATACTCAGGAACTCTGTAGCCAGTCCCACTCTCAAGGAGCTCACAGTCAAGCGAGGGAGACATTCATTCATTCAACAAATATTTATCATGGCCTGCCAGACCTATGCTGGGGACACAGTGCTGAATAGGACAGACAGGGGCCTTACCTTCTCAGAGCTCACAGTCCAGCTGAAAAAATAATTGAGTAGAGTGTGGCAAGTTTGATGACAAAGGCGTGCCTAGGGTGTAATGAATGATACCTGATCCAACCTGGGGACAAGGGATGGTCAGGGA